AGTATTTTCCTCTTATGCTTTGACTTACACGTCAACACAGACCAGCTCAGCTGTTATTCTATCACAAACTGATTGGGTTTATCTAAGACTGTGGAGTGGGGAATATATCTACGGTCAGGTATTGTTGGTTATCTTGTCACCCTTTGTCATATAAAGTGACTATTGGAGTCCAACGTTAGAAACAAGCGCTGAACTTTACACTTGAAGAACAGATCATTTTGAAGTGGGCATTGTTTGAACTAGATTTATAGTAATTTCATGACTTAATTAATACCAGTTTGTTGTCATCAGGATTGTTTAAAATGTGTTAAAGGCTATACATGAGGATCATAAACAATTTAATTGAATTAATGTTTTTATAATTTTGGCTAGATAAAAAGTAACAGTAATAGAGACTCGTTAAATAAAGAAGACACCAAAACGTCATGGTTTTTTTTTGTGCTGTACAGAGTATGTTAATTATTTATGTACTTTATTTTGATGTTTTAATAAATGTATAATTCCTGACTATTTATTTTATTCTTATTGTTATATTTATATTGGGTTGTATGCCTGCATGGCTTTACAGACAGAGTTTAGATAAAGCCAGGATTAGGCGTTTGTTAAATTGGGACATTTAAGTAGTGCCTTAGCTAGGACATAAAAAAATGTGCCTTAGAAAAAAACTTTACTGGTGTGCATATTTTAAGATATATCAGTGCACTTTCAGTTAAAACACCTCAAGCATTTTAGTCTGGGACTTTGAAGCCTTGTCTGTAAATAAAATTCAGAGGTACGACGTCCTCCAAAACAACAGATGGCGAAGTAGTCGAACAGCATGTGACGCAATGAAGACGAACAAGACGTGTGTCGCAGTGAGTGTTCTGCGCATGCTCGCAGTCGCACTCTCGCTCACTCACAAGCAGGCATCATGGCGGACGTACTGGATCTTCATGAAGCGGGGGGTGAAGACTTTCCTATGGACGAGGATGGTGACGGTACAGTGATTATTTATATTCAAACAGTCCATACACATTATTATTATTTTAAATGATAAAAAAAACACCTGTTTATTAGTGCTGAATGTGTGTAATACCCGTGTTTACTTCCGACGGGCCTAGTCAGATTAGCACGCGTGCTAATGGTTGGCTAATTCAAACTAATCGCGCGCTGTACTGATTCTAACGTTACGTTACTTAATTTTGTTGCCTTGCTTTGGTTTTAGTTTTTATACGTTTAACTTGTTTTCATGTTTATCATTGTCAAAAAGGCATTGAATGGTCGTTAAGAATACAAGCTCAGATGTTTAGATTCATCATCGTTTGTGATGTTAAAAAGACAGTATGCATGGCAATCTTCTATTTGTTTATATAATTTCGTTCATAATGTTTATATAGTTATCTTCAAAAATGTCTACGCCGTTGTTATTATTTTTGAATACATCGTAAGAGTCATTCATTTTTCCTTTTGTTCACCTTACAGAGAGCATTCACAAGTTAAAAGAGAAAGCCAAGAAGAGGAAGGGTCGTGGGTTTGGATCAGGTAAGTCATCTAATCTCTAATCCTGTGTGTTTGCATCTTAATTAATCGTGCTAATGATGTTTGGTGCTTTATTTCACAGAGGAAGGAGCGAGATCCCGAGTCAGAGAGGACTATGACACTGTAGAACAGGATGGAGATGAGCCTGGCCCACAGAGATGTAAGTGGAACTCACAGAACTGTAAATTACATGCAAGTGTATTTTTGCAAATCACAGAATATCAGAGTAGATTTGATGTTAATGTTGCATATCAGCATCTGACATCTCTATGCCTGTAAGTTCTTCTTTCAACATATTGGACTGTATTAAAATGTATTAGAATGTCTATCATGAGGCGCATATGTCAAGGAAAAGCTGGTTTATCTGCAGTTGACAAAATGTTTGGTTCTTATCTTGGTTGCAGCTGGAAGAAAGAACTTTTATCGCTTGTAGATTTTAAACCATTTTTAACATGTTTTGATGTCACTTTAGCTGTTGAAGGATGGATTCTGTTTGTGACTGGTGTACATGAGGAGGCGACGGAAGAGGATGTCCACGACAAGTTTGCAGAGTTTGGAGAAATCAAGAACTTGCATCTAAATTTGGACAGAAGAACTGGTTACCTTAAGGTTAGTTTGGTGTTTTTTGTAAATTTGTGATTCAGAAAAATACATGCAAATGTGTGTAAAGTTTACTGAACTTTTTTTCACTTTATTTGTAATTTATGAATGACTGCTTGAGTGTGTTATGTGTATATGAATGAGACTGAGTGAGATAATATCTATATATACAAAATGTATATAATATAAAGTTGACAGGTTTATTGGCTCAGGAAGGCCTTTCTCTCCGTATTTGCTCTGAAATAGTTTTCTTTCTTTTTTTAACCCTAATTTGAGGAATTGTTGAATAAGAGGGATTCACCCAAGTGTTTTTGATTCCGTCCACCAGATGGCAGTGTTTTAAACAAAACCCAAAATCTGATTCATTTTGTCTCAAATTGATGACCATATTTTGACAGTGTTTAATATGATCTTGTGCTTAAAGGAATGGTTCAACCGAAAAATTCTGTCATTAATTACTCACCCTCATGTCGTTCCAAACCCGTAAGACTTTTGTTCATCTTCGGAACACAAATGAAGATCTTTTTAAAGAAATCTCAGAGCTTTCTGTCCCTCCATTGACAGCTACACAACTACCACTTTGACGCTTTAGAAAGTTCATAAAGAGATCGTAAAACTAATCCATATGAATTGAGCGGTTTATTCCAAAAATTTCTGAAGAGAAAATCGGTTGCCTTACATGTCGTTCAGACGTCCTCTTGGGTGGTCCTTGGCCAATGAAACCTGTGATGGAGTCTAGACCTTCTGCCATCAGTCTGAAGGTCTGGCTACTACTTTACATGTGACTAGTGATGTGCATCTTCAATAGTTTGTCTGCTCAAGGACTTGATAAAAGTGAATTCCATATGCAGTTTTAACTCTTTTTTTTCTTTTTTTTATGTGCACATGTGAAACAGTTCTTAGATCAATGCATCAGCTATCAGTCCTCTAATATGGTGTATTATGTCAAAAAAATAATTACTTTTAAAACAAATTTCAGCTGTGGTGTCCTGTTCCTTTCAGTTGTGCTCTGTGTAGCTGTTTTTGATCACAAGATGCTCAATATGCAGTTTTATTTTGTGTGATTTTGAATATTTTGACCCTGTTGCATTTCATTTGTTTTCATACATTTTATTAAATAAATGTATATCTGTCGGCAATTGAGAAACCCATATTTGGTGGATCCTCACATTTGGCCCCTTTTTTTGCTTGAAGAGATTTCTCAGGTCAAGCTGACGCATGTTAATGCACAAAATGTTTAGTTTGGCCTGTTTCAAGATGTGAAAGACAGTTGTGGAACCAGGCAACCAATGGAGAATTATTCCTTTAAGAGCTTGATGTGTTTGAAAAATTCTGGCAAATAATGAGGCCTGTTTTTGTTTTTTATAGGGCTATGCACTGGTGGAGTACGAGACTTACAAAGAAGCCCAGGCTGCGATGGAAGGGCTGAATGGACAAGATCTTATGGGGCAACCAATCAGCGTTGACTGGGGCTTTGTAAGGGGACCCCCTAAGAGCAAGAGGAGGTGAGTCAGTATCTTATGCTATTAAACTGGTTTTATATACTCTGACCGTGTCACTCGCTCAAACAATCTTATTTTGTAGTGGAGTTTGTCTTCTGTAGCATTTAATGATACAGGTTGATATATAATATGACTAATGGACCAATGTGTTTTCCTCTAGGGGTGGAAGAAGGCGCAGCAGAAGCCCTGACAGACGGAGACGTTGATTTTTCCCATATTAAACTTCATTGTCTGTTTTCCAGCCATTGTGGCATTATACTTTGAGGCAGATTGGAGTGTTTATATTTCTTTAAGGATTTTAGTGTTGTTTTTGAAGGAGGTGGTTTTTGTCTTAATTGTTAGTTATTCGGCAACTGTCTGTAGGTCTTTTGTTGAAGAATGACAGACGTTACTGAAGCATACATGTTAAAGCTGTTGGTATTTCCATAGCTTTTTTTTGTGTGTAAAAAGTGGCTGTACACTTTAAAATGTATGTAGATTGACATGTCATTTCCTCACCTGTTATGAGTAGTGATTTGTATACTTCCAATAAATTAATTTGGATTAATCTTTGTTTCCTACCTTGTTTGAGACCATTTGGGTTTTTACAATTACAGTTTTTACTTAGAATTTACAGGTTTACACAAACAAAATGCATTGCTAAAATAGTATAAATACAAAAAACTAACTGGCATTACACTACGCCAAATTTTGTGTGTAAATTTAAATGTAAATGTAAATTTATGTCCTTGAGTTGCTTTTGAGTTTGTTTTTTACCCTACCGATATGTTTAAATTTTGTAATGTCTTTAATATGGGTCAAACTATTCAATTCAAATTACAATTTATTAAAAATGTTTTCATTTTTTTCCTCACTGTACTTTGACTTTTTTTATTAAATAGTCCAAAATATTACTCTCTTTTTTTTTTGTATTGTTAGTCACACAATTTATAAAAACATTAAGATACATTTTACCTAGTTTTGAATAACCATATTTTTTATTAAAGGCAATTATCTCATCAGAATTTTTCACAGAAATGATAGGCGTTAACTTACGACTTCTGAGGTCATGATGGATGAAAATGTGGAAATGACCAGACAACATGCTGATGACATTTTTCCAGCATCAGCAAAATACGTCATGACTAAGCCGGTCACCCTTAAATAAAGTTGCTTATTGCTTTGTCATAGGTCCGATTTACTTTAATAGGCTCCTCGAACCGATGCCCATCATGTACTATGTGGTTGACCAACCAGCGTGGAATACTGAGCTCCCACTCTCTTTTCACATTTGCCCTTTTCTGCCCACAGGCGGAGCTTAATAGGAAATTCCAATCGCTATTGGCTCACGTCTGTGCCCGTCAAATTCAACTCTCTCTCTGATTGGCCCAAGCGGTCAGTTGAGTTTCCTTAGATGGGCGGATTTGTAGCGCCTTGGTTGACATTGTTGTTGTTGTGGGAGTAAGAATGTACTTAGTCGTCAAGTCTTTTTAAGACAACAAGCAAGAGGTATTTTTGACATTTACACAAAGCTGAACAACACATTACCTCCTAAGGAACGGATTTTCTGCGATCGAAAAGCCCAGAGTGGGAGGAAATGAGAGAGAAATTCCGCGAGGCCGCTCATGGTAAGCGCGCAACTGCATTAGCTTTAGCTCCGCGAGCCTGAAAAACCCTCACGAGCGTTTTGTAACGGAACCGGGTCATTTTTCCTCAGCGTTTGAGTGTTGTTGATGAAAGGAAAGTGACCGTTATTTCCGCCATATCCGTAGTTTGACATCAAAATAGATGTGTTCTGTGGAAAAACTGTGTGAAAGTAAAATGTTAATAAGGGAAAGTTGGTCGTTAGGTCATGTTTTAGGCTGGACACTCTTGAGGGGACGGTGAGCGAACGGGTGACCCTTCTTTAACTGCTAAAACTAGATTAACTAACAGTCACAAACTCTAAAAGTTCAGTACGAGTCTTATTAAGTGCTTTTAATTGTGTATAACAAGACTTGTTCGTCAGTTTCTGGGCTAACGCAATTTTGTGCCTCAGCAACTTTGAGAGACACTCACGGTCCGCTAGCCGAGCAGCTAACTAACGTTAACGTTAACTGGCTAAGCAATGACAGTCTGAAAGGACGACACATTGTGTAGTTTGAAAGGTTTATATTAGTAAGAACTAAAAATGTGTTATAGATTAGTGAAGAAGACTATTGAAGCTATCATCTGGCAGCCAATGACTGTGGCCACTCCTTTCATCCCAGTGACCCTTCATGCTTCAGGTATTTGGTTGTCATGTAGGCTATGTTTGTTAGGCTATATAACGTTACTGACCTGTGCATAATATTTGATTGGCATTTGTTTTATAGACTGTAGCTTATTATATAGTACAATGTGTGTCCAATTCTGGTTCGTAGTGTATATTATATACAGGGTGTTATATGCTGACCTGATCTGCATCCTCACTTGTTATCTTTAAGATTATATTAAGATGAAGATCATAAACGTGAAAATATATATTTAATCTAACTCCAGTCATCTAGAAAATCATGTTTATTCGACATGGAACTTATTGCCCGCACATGGGCACTGCCATGTCATGACATGTCATGCAATTGACTGATAAAAAACATCACATGATGTCAAGCAATTGACTGATAAAAAACATCACGTCATACAATTGACTACTAAAATATTCAAATTATAAGCAGTCTTTGCTGGAGTTTTTAAACCAACAGTACGGTCGGTCCGATTGAGAATAAATGGCAGCACATCAGTTGCCACAATCACTATTAAAGGACATCAAAAACTTCTTGTATCCAGGCCAATAGGTGTCAGTTTAAAGTACAAAAACTGGTACTGTTTTGAGAAACGAGAGTTAGCTGAACTGTTTCATGTGATTGCAGTTTTACCAAGATGGGTGCAATGTTTTTCAGTGGCCCAAATGTGTATGCAAAATTGGATGGAATTTAAGTTAATAATCTACTTTTTTCCACAACTGTCCTACTTATTCCATCTTTCCTATTTCTGGTGGAATTTGACGGACATCAGAGCGTGGTGCAGTCGCAGTCGCTACCGAAACCCGCTTAAAATGAAAGCTGTGGGCACTTGCTTCCATGGTTCGAATCCCTACAATGTGTGGGTACGGTTACTCTCAGCTCTGAATTATTCAGCTCTGTATTTACAAGCTCTTTTGTCAGCTTGTTGTTTAGTGAAGGCAGCCACCCCTAGACATGAAAGTAGGACATGCAAACAAAGTCTTGGGTTTTAAGACTGTTCAGGGTTGTTGTTTTCTCTTGTGTGGACCTTGAAAATAATCGTATCTAAGCCGTTTAAACGGACCCAGTCTTCAGCCTCATTATGATTTGATATTTTTTGTACTTGCAAGATTGACATTAACTTTTTTTTCAACATGATTTTTAAGCATTTATTTATTTATGTAAGGGAGAGCATGGTTTTTCTTTTGATTAGCTCATTTCTGTAGTCCATGTGATAATACAAATACATTTTTAAAAGTAGAAATATTCTGTGCAGTGTCTAGATTAATATATCATTAAAGCTGATGAGATGAGGATATGCATAGTCAAACTAGGCGTCGTAAGCTCCATATGGTTATTTCGAGGAGGAGACGCATGTGCGCACAATCTTCCGCTGACTGGGATTTATCAAGTGAATTCTGCGCCGCTTCTGGCGTACGCACAGTTTTATAAGTCTGAATATTTTTTTGCGTGCGACATTTTTTGGCTTTCGGGTGCACGTACACTTTTAGTAAGGATCCTACGCACAGTTTTATAAATGAGACTCCTGATAACCGATGCTTATGTTCTGTGCTTTACATCACACTGTAGTTCCTTTTTTCACTTATTTATTTTTGAGAGCTAATTGTGAGAGCTGGGTGTCAGGTAAGAACCTGCATGTGCTACTAGTTAATTATGAAAATTTAAGTGGTGTCCCCTCACCAGTGGGTTTGAGAACAGCAGGTGAATGAGAGCAGGTGGGCCAGAGACCTTACATATCACTTACAGTGTTATCCACTGAGCCAAAATGCTCCCACAACAATCATCTGCCCCAACAAACAGACACCATTAAATTGACATGAGACCCTCATCTTTAGACTTTTAACTGTATACATATAGAGAAAATATGTTTTTGCTTGATATTGAGCCAACATGAGCCATCAGCATTGTGCTTTTGAGCAAAGCACTTGGGTCTCGCCGGTTGATCCAGGGGTATTGAAAGTGTTTGCTGAGTGACTGACTGCTAACATTGTCTTGTCAGAGAGCCTTGTCTCTAACTTGTTTCTTGATGTTAAGCTGTAGCTTTAAAATGCAGGTCCTTTTTTCTCCAGCTCTGAGTTTCTAGGAACTAGCTGTTCTCTTGGTTTCTGATGACAGCCAGTGCCCACGGTTTGATTCATTCCTCTGGAGAGTCCCGCTAGCAGCATACCTCCTCGCTGCTCCAGACCTATGTGTCAACTTCATATGAAGACTATTCACATTCTTTAAGAAAGCACTATTCTTCAGAGCGCCACAGATTATGCTGTGAAACAAAAGCACAACCGCTAGTCCAAACGGTGGCCAGAGAGTCAAACAAACAATGTAACCGTCAGTTTACTGTCAGTGGGCTGTCACTGGGCCCAGTGTCTGGTGTGAAAGTGTGTTGATCACATGGCTCATTCCTCATGCGCTAAACATCAGTCTTGATCCAGAGCAGCCGTAATCCTATCCCAGAGAAGCTGAAGAGGAGTCTTTCGCCTGGGATGACATCACAGGGATTGAAGCAAAGATGCCTGGCTGCCGAGCTTGCAGCACGTGGGGATTCACATGAGCAATAGCTGCCTTAGGCTGTGGATAATTCGCGTTGAGCTGCGGCTGTGTACACTTTAGGTGCCTGTAGTTTGTTGTATGGTCCAAATGTCCTTCTTGAATATATATTTGTTTGCTATAGAAGAAATATTACTCTTGCTGTTTACCCTAGTGAAAAGCCGTCCCTTGAATTGGTTTGTTTGAAGTGTTTTGTTTGAACAACAAAGCAGTTAAGCTTGACTTGCTGAAACGCAAAAGTTTACTCATGGTCATCATGGTATACTTCTTTTGCTTGATGAAAGAAAGCAGCAGCACTAGATCAAATCTCATTAAATGCGCCTTTTAAAAGCAATGTGTAAATCAAAACGCAAACCACACCCTGCCACCTTAATGTAGATTATATAACTGTGTCAGATTGAATACAACAATTGAATTCATCATTTTAAGCAACAATAGCATCCTTTGTAGGAGCCGCAGCTAGATTCCCATGGCACAGTGAGCATTGCACATTTTTCAAATGACAGAAGCTGCCTGACATGATTGTGCACTTTAAACCGCCTGCTCAGATGGCTAGTTTTATAAGGCGTGTTTGTGAAATTTAAAAATAATAATTGTGACAGTCAGATGTGGATTGAATAGGGGAAACCCAAATCATGTTCACAGAACAATATGACTCCTTGTCCAAACATTGTTTAGTTTAGGTTGGCAAACTCGCCTGCACTGTTAAAACTTTGGCGGATTGTTTGCCAGGGTCAATGAAAACATAACTGTCGCTATCTTTTATTATTATCTTCTTATCTTTTTTTGCAGACAGCAGTAGCCTTAGCCACGGAGCAGAATTGTCATTGTGCTACCAAGATGGCTGGCCCAGATGGAACATTTTTTAATTTATTTTTTGCATTTCCTTCACTGATTTTGGGTGAAAATCTCTAGAGTTCAACAAAATGGATTTAATTGTAATAAAAAGTGTTAAGTAGGCTACTACACTCTTATGGTAGCTGAAAAAATCTGTTGAAGCAGATGTTGTGTGGGCTTGCTGATAGGCTTATCTCTTAGTATTTGTATTGTAGGATACAAGTAGACTTTAGCAAACTCTGGATATTCCCATACAAACTCTTTAAGCTTTTTAAAAGGCACTGCCCTCTAGATGTTCTAGCTCAGTCTCTGGTTACTAGCAAGTGTTTTTAAGCAAGTGGTTACACAATTAATTTAAGTTCAACTAAAATATGTTTAAAATGAAGATAGTCAATAGCTGGTTTCCATCCAAATGTGAAGCTCATTTTTTCTCAAATTCTCAAAAAAAGGGGGGGGGGGGGAATGCAAATTAGGTGTGTTTCCATCAAGTTGTTCGAGCGGATGACTGTGGTATTGGTAACCTAGTAACCAACATTAAATAAAACAAGGCACACATAGAAAATGGAGACAGGACTGCAATTAGTTAACATTGGGCAAGTTATAAATTTACAATCAGTGCAGCATGCAATCGACAAATTGAATGCTGTACACAAAAGAAGAAATGCAGATTTTTTTTGATGAAGGTACTAGAAGCAAGTGCATTACGAGCACGTTGAGCCCCATACATATGGGGAAAACGACGTCACTAAGATTTTTGGGAGGTCGTGGTGACCAGACATTTTTCTCACAACCTCTGGCTACGACATTTCAGAATGTCAGAGAGGCCACATTTGAAATGTTGTGCAACATTATTGACACCATCATCAGTGGAAACAGCCGATTAGTCACGTGGGTTTAATGTTCGCTATGTCAGAATTTATAAGGCAAATGCGTTTCCATCTCCCATTATTCGCATGAACTCTTTTTCCCACAAGGCAAAAACT